GAAGAATAAAAAGAACACTAAAAACCTGCGAACACTAAAAACCTGCCAAATCTATGAACAAACTAATTCTATTTGTTCAAAAAATACACTGACTATGCAAAATAAAGTTCTAGAGTATTTTGTTGAAATTTTTAAAAAATTGTATTATTCGATATTTGTTAAGTTTTGAGATTTCTAGCATATTGCTTTAATAATATATTACCAAACGAATTATTACTTATTGAATATAAATTATTAATTATTGAAAGTTTATTATATATTATAGATTCTATTGGTATACTCTTATTTTTTGTTTAATAAGTATGTTTTTTTTATGAAAATGTAATTTTATGTATCTGTTTTTTATTCTAATGCAATCTTTTAAAGCAATTTTTACAATTTATTTTGTAAACAAAAAGACTTTCAACAATAATTGCATTTTCAATAAAATTATTATTAATCATCAAAGTTAATAAGACTAACTATGAAATAAACATACAAGAAATTTCTGGTTATAAACACAGACATGCATACATATATATATATATATATATATATAATATATATATATATATATATATATATATATATATATATATATATATATATATATATATATATATATATATATATATATATATATATATATATATATATATATATATATATATATATATATTAAGAAAGTTATTAAATATAAAGAAAAGTTTTTAAGTTCTTAGATGTTGGTTTACTAACTCAAATTATTTTTACTTCAGTTACCATTCTTACAAACTCGTTACTTAAACTTAAAGTTACTTTTTTCTGTTTTAAATACTAATTAAAATTAAAAAGCCCACTTTATATACTAATTAAAATTAAAAAGCCCATCCAGAAAATAATAATTAAAATTAAAAAACCCACTAAACATCATCAGTGGTATTGTGAAGCAGTTCCGCTTCCTCTTCATAAACTACTTTTAAACTTTTTAGTTGATTTCTATTGAGTTAATTTAATTTTTACAGTAACTCAATGATTTATATATTTCATTTGTTCATCTTACTAAGAAGAACTGTTTCAAATATGTTAAACTATTCAAGAAAGCATAAAATAATTATTAAAAAAAAAAACTTTTTTATTTATAAAATAATTTAGCTTAAATAAAACTTAAACTAGCGTTAGTTTTATTAGAATCTTGTTGGATTTTTTGGGGCCGGGGCTATTTTTATTTTGGAGGCCTTTTTAATGTGCCACAGCATAAAAAATACTTAAAAAAAAGGCCCAGGGATATAGTCCCCTCTAACCCCAACCCTCCTTAATCCAGCACTAGAAATAAGACAAGTGTATATAAATAAAAATTATATTATACTCTTTGATAAATAAAAGAACGTTTGTTTCCTTATTAAGCAATCATAAGATATTACTTTACATAAAAAGTATTGCTTAATTTTATAAAAAAATTATAAAGAGCAATGTTTCGAAAATATTGGTCCTAAACAAAATTTATTTTGCTTTAAGTTTTTTCGCGTTAAAAGTTATTATGTTTTTTGCAGTTGTCTCTCATTGGTCCAACTAACCTTTTTTGCGCTTTTTTGTTTTGTTTTTTGAAATGTTCTCAAAATGACTGAAAAATCTAGCAAATTTTTTGCAATTAAATATTATTTCAAGGTCAGTAATCAAGAGCAATTGCTCCTGCTTCCCGACCAAGCCTGATGTGTCTTCCAATTTAATCAGTTAATGTAATAATTCAAGTATAAGTGAGTATAATAAATAAATTGTTGAACTCACTTATACTTGATTTATTACATTGATTATTTGCTTTTTTTTTTTTTTTATAGAAGATTTTTGGTTAGTACCATCACAATAGATAATTGTATTTATATATATCCTTTTTTTTTTTCAGACATGGAAAGCATTCAAATTGTCTCAAATGTACTCAATTTATTTTTAGTTTGAGTTCCTTCTCTTGAAAATTTTCCAAAATCATGCCTGATTTTGGAAAATTTTCTTACATAGAACAATTTAAGAAATGTTCTGAATGTTGATTGTTTTCTAAAATCTAAAATGAAGTTTTGTTAATCGCCATAGCATTTACTAAAATATATAGAATAATGAAACAATGTTATTTTGTAATTTTTTTTTACCAAAAAAAGTTGTTATTTTATCTCAAGAAAAATGTTTTTTGTTTCTTACATGAATTTTTAAATTTTTTTTCTTTGAAATTATTTTAGCATGGATGTACTGGCCATTTTCAATTTGATATATTTTTCCATTATTTTTATATGTAAATGAAATACATTGATACTTTAATCACTTAAGTAATTACAGGTTTAGATATTTCCATTCCCTTTAAGAAAGTTTTTTTACCAAGATTCTGTACAAATAATAGCTATAATAACTTAATAATTCACAAAAACCGTTATTAAAAACAGTTCAATTGAAAGAATATGCAATGAGTTGCAGAAGTATAGTTAATTGTTGACCAAAAGTCAAAAATTTTATATTGATTTATTTTCTGTTGTAAACTAAGATTTATTAAAGTAAAGGGAGCAATTTAAGTATAGATATAGTCGGTTGTGGAACCTAGTAGCTTTGTAAAGTATAATAATTTTTTGTAATTTTATTTTTTAATGAGTGTATCAGTATTTTTTTTATCTCAAGAAAAATATGTTTTTTGTTTCTAACATTAAAGTTTTTTTTTTTTTCTTTAAAATTATTACTTCATATTGATATATTCATTACAGAAGAGTTTCTGTAAAATAAAACCGATAGAGGTAACTTATTTGAAATAATTAGGACCCGTGACCCGTTTTCTGTGTCCTCTTTTGTATTTTAAATAAATTTAATTAAGAGGGTTAAAAAATCAATTTATAAACCTTTTTGTTAAAACCTTAAGTTACCTAAAACACCAGAAGAAATATTACATAACTGTCATCTATGTTAAAATTAAATAAGTATAGTTTTAAAGTATAGTAAAATAATTGTTAACCAAAAGCCAAAAGTTTTCAATTGATTGACTTTCTGCTGTTTATTAAAATTCATTGATGTAAGAAGACCAAATTAAAAACAAGTTTAGATATAGTCGGGTGTCAGTCTTTCACAGAAAGACGTGCAATTGCACGTCTTTATATGACCAGGCAAATTGTATTTTGCTTTGACAACTTGACCATGGCTGATTCAAAAAACATTTTAAAAATACGCTGAATGAAAAACATTCTGAATTATACCTTAAGTAAATGAAACTTTTAACAAATGTTTTTATATTAGCGAAACACTTTTAAATAAAGTAACAATTAAGTGAAAATGGTTTTTTCATAAAAAACCATTCTTATAAAGTATAACTGACAGTTTTATATATTTTTTTAATTTATAATATTTAAACTGTTTAAGTGTGCACAAAAAACAAAGTACAAATGTTAAAATCAAGAACAAAATGGTTTTTTTAATTTGTAAATCAAATAGACTAAGCATTTTAGTTTGATGAGTTTTATTTTAGTTGGGTTATATATATATATATATATATATATATATATATATATATATATATATATATATATATATATATATATATATATATATATATATATATATATATATATATATATATATATATATATATATAACCCTTGGAATTAGGGTCGGCAATGCTGACCTAACTACCAACCTGAAAATGTTTAAGGTCGGCAAAAAATTGCCGACTTTATTTCTATGTTTTATGCTCAGACCTTGAATCAAATAATTTTTGCCAACCTGATGCTGACCTTGATCTTTTTGAGATTTTGAAATTATTGCCGACCTCGTTTTTCCTAATTCCAAGGGTTGTATATATATATACATACATATATATATATACAACCCTTTATACATATACATATATATATATATATATATATATATATATATATATATATATATGTATATATATATATATATATATATATATATATATATATATATATATATATATATATATATATATATATATATATTGTTATTTCACCTCCCCAAGGCCGAGAAGGCCACTGCAGAGGAGGAGGCTACTTAATTGTGGTTATAACCCTCTCTCAACTCTATAACTCCAAAACACGAACCTTAATGAGGCCGCTGCGCAGAGAAACAAGTTGAGCGTGGTACTACCAGGGACGTGGTGGAGATCGAACTCGGAACCTCTTGCTTATGAAGCGAGTGCTCTACCACTACACCACTACCGCATTATATATATATATATATATATATATATATATATATATATATATATATATATATATATATATATATATATATATATATATATATATATATATATATATATATGGAACAGATTTACCATGAACCATATCGTATGGGTCATGACAACTAGTTTATTATTAAACTTTGTGCATAGTTTCATTTCATAATGAAAAACCAATTTTAAGCAGTTATATATAAATATACAAAACATGCTCTGTAAAACTTTTATTTCCCTGTTTAATTTAGTAAAGAACAGCTGTTTTGTACCACTATTTTCTATGTCATATTAAAGAGAATAGTTTTGTTATGGTCGTGTTATTGTAATAATTAGTTCTCATAAAAGCATATGCATTAGATTTTTAACTATTTTTTAACAAACCTCATAGAAACATCTAACAATATCCCCTAAAAAAGGTATTATAATGAGGGTACTACACTATTTTTATGATACAAAACAAACATCCCAGCTAACACAAAACGTTCAAGTACATTCGACGAACATTGAGAATGTTCAAGCACATTCTATAAACGCTCATAGAATGCTCTTGAACATTCTTAACATTTTTTGAATGTTTTTGAACGTTTGGTGTTAGCTGGGATTGCCTATTTACAAAAAAACTTAACTTTCAAATATTTTAAATTGAAATTTTTTGTTTAAAAAAGTGGATTTGTTTAAACATAAAACATTTTGTTCTTTTTATAAAAAAAAAAAATAATAAAAAATATTTTTAAAACCACTTTTAAAATAAAAAAATAGGCTCTATTACTAAAATTCCTTTGAAATATTAAAAAAAAAAAACCTTTAACTGTACCTTTAACTGAGGTTCTTTTTTGGGATCAACATTTGTAGAGCTGAATGGAATTAAAAAATAGTTGTTTGTTAATACAGGATAGCTTTTAATAGGTTGAAGATCACCAACATAATTCCCTGTTATCTGAAAAAAATAAATTACGTAGACATGACACAAAATTCAATAATATAAGATGTATTAGCATCCTGAAAACAGATTATATGATTTTTCAAAATGCTATTGCTAAATTTAAATATTTCTTTCTTTTGCAGAAACATTTTTGCAGAAACAAGCAAAAGTGTAAAAAATATGACTTTCATTTAACTATATGCTTCATTCATTCATTATTTATTCCTTTAACTTTAAAAGTATTTTTTATATAGTTTAATATTAAGAAATTTATTTTAGAATGTGTTTTTTAAAAATTCAATCTAAAAGATGTAGTGACATAAAGGATAAAGTTTTTTTATACAAAGGACATAAAAACCCTAGTACTAGGGTTCAAAAAATAAAACAAAGAATCAATGGCAAGTTTAACTTAAAATATATTTTACAGTAATTACAAAATAATGTTAAAAATTGCATAGGGTATATTAGAAAAATATAATACATATTTTGTATTATGAATCTATGTTTAAAGTAATAAACAACATGTTTTAACAAGAAATAACATAAATAAGTAAAACATGACAAAAGAAGAAAATTTCAACACACATAAGAATTTTATAAAATATACTTTTCACGGGTGGGAGCGAACATTATATCCTTTTATAGTGTTCACTTTTACCTGTTTAATAAAACTTAATTTAAGGACAAGTATGAACTTTTGTCAGTGGAATAACAAACTTTAATAAAATCGAAAGATAACAATAGTATTTGTATAATAAAAGAAGAGAAAAAAATTACAAGGATATTATAAAGTTGAATTACCAAAACAGGTCTAACAATATTTACAATTTATTGTTTTAAATATATTTTGAATGTAAAATACTTATTACAATGTTTACTTATTTATAGAAAAAAAATTTAATGCTTTTTAATTGATTTTGAATCAGCAGTTATATCTGCAGTATAACTTATCCAAGAGTTTTGATTTAGAAAAACAGTGCAATTAAGAAGAAAGATTTGCACTGTTTAAGCATTTCATAACAGTAAAAAAATAATACATCTTTCGTATTTGTCAATCCATAAACCAAATAAAAAAATATTTTTACATAATTTTTTTATATTAAAAAATTTCAATACAAATTTTTTTTGTGATAGCCAAAATGTAAAAAGACATCGTCTGGTTGCATCACAAATAATTCTAAAGAAGTTTTGGAAGAAACTATTCACAATGCACTTGATATTACTCTCACTGCAGATATTTTGGATTGCTTTTATAATACTTGGTTTAATCAAGTATTATACAAGTCACTTCCAATTCATTTAAAATATGAAATCATTTTTAAAACAATAGTCTCAGAACTACAAAACATGTTGAAAGTGTATTCATTTTAAAAAATTTTTTACAAAAGTGAACATTAACTTACAATATTTAATACTGTATATAATGATGATGAACTAAATGGATTAGAATCAAATTGACCAACTAGAAAATAAATTAATAAAACTCTACTTTAAATAAAAAAATACTAAGACTTTTAGACAGACAGAGAAAGAATATTAGTTAAAGATTGTTGTTTTGGTTGTAATTTATTACAACAGCTGGTTATAAACTAAAGTTAAATAGATAACTTATTGATTTGTTTTGCCTGTTATGATTTATATTTGTTCTTAATTTATAATAATATTTAAGTTGAAACAATCATTTTATCAAAAATATTTCACTACACTAAAGTTTAATTATTTTTTAAATTATTTTAAAAAATAAATTAGATATTTAGTTTCAAATATCCAGTAAGTATTCATGTTTATCCAGTTAGAATTTGTATTTATCCAGTTAGTATTTATGTTCATCCAGTTAGTAAGACATATACCAGAAAAAATGTGCGTGTTCTGATGGTGTTTACAGAAACCTTGCATCATTTTAAATAGCTAATTGTTTTAAAATGTCATTGTATTAGTGTTATTCAAAATTTAAACAACTCTGTTATTAAAATAATTAGTTTTAATTAAAATGTCATCAAATCAAGATAAGAAGCAAGAAAATATTTTGGCATCTTCTTGTTGAAAATCCTGGTGTATCAAAACAATTCCTAAAAATTTGCAGATTGCTTTGAGAACAGTGCATAGGGTTGTGAAACGATATAAGGACACTGGTACAATCAAAAGGAAATCAGGGAGTGGAAGAAATATTTTGTTAGATGAGATCTTGGTAAAAAAGTGAAAGATGTCTTAGACAGAAAACTGGAGATTTCTGTTCGAACTTTAGTAAATAAATTTAAGATAAGTGCTTCCACTATACAAAGAGTGAAGAGAAATTGTGGCTATAAATCTTATAAAAAGAAAAAAGTTCCTTGTCGAGAAGAAAAGCAAGTAAATGTCACAATTTGTTGTTCAACGCTCTATAAAGAATTGTGCCAAAAAATCTTGTTTATTGATGATAAAACTTATTGTGCTGCATATTTCCGATTTCTCCTGGGACATCAATATTATTTAGCAATTAATTGCAAGAAACTGAATCCCAATTATAAATGCATTGGATTGCAAAAATTAGCTAAAAAACTCTTAGTTTGGCAAGCAATTTGTGAATGTGGTGAAATAAGCTCTGTTTTGTGACTACAGGAACAATTAAAATCAAAATATACATAGAAAAATGGCTCAAGAAACATATTTTGTTGTTTAAAAGAATACACACAGGTAACCAGTTACTTTGGCCCAATTTAGCATCATGTCACTACTATGGGACAACTTTATACCGCCATAGAGAACATAAAGTAGATTTTGTACCGAACTACTTCTTTTACATTGAACTAAGGTTCAATGTAAAAGAATCCAAAAGCATTAAAGACTTCAAAAATAAATGGATTAGAGCTACTAAGAAAGTCCAGCCGAAGACTGTGCAAAAGCTGATGTCAAGTGTAAAACGTGCGTATGTTCTCATGTACAAAACTTCACAAACATTTTTAAGTGAAATTTAAGAATATTAATATATGTAATTAGTATTACATCATCATTTATATATATGTTTATATAAATTATTTTTTTTATAATCATTGTAGCAACAAAAAGTCATGTCATCTATAAAACCTATACAATATTTCCAAAAAAAAAATTTACAGAAATGATTCTGTAAATCAGTTCAATACCTGATAATGCCAATGAATACTGAATAAACATGTATTAAAAATAACTAGCTTTTAATAATTTGGAGGAAAAATTTTTTAACTTTAATAAAAAATATTCAAAAATAATTAAACAACTGCATTTTATTGTTAATTTTATATAATTAGTTATAAATTTTGTGTATTTTAATCAATAATCAACAAGGAGCTTTTAAAAATAATTCAATTTAATAATTTTAAAAATCATGACTGATTTAAAATTGAAATGGAAATTCATAAATAGTTGTCCTTGGTTGCTTACACTTAATATTTAGTAACTAAGTTATATTAAAAAAAGAAACACATTGTCTTAAAATTTAGTAAAAAGTTCTTAACTTTTTTGGAGAGTAGACTTTTATTAAATAGCTTTATGTCAGGGTTTTGTGGATTCAACAAAAAGCTGCAAAACTGTTTTTTACTGAAGCAAGTGTAAACTATAAACATTTTTATCAATATGTTTACATTATCTATGATTTTATCATATTTTACAAATATCCCTCATCATTCACAATATATTTATCAAAATACTAAGATAAAAATTCCAAGATTCATTTCAAACTTCTACCATTCTCAGACATTTTTTAATCATTTTTTAAATTCTATGATTTTCATCAACTCATTGACTTTCCTGATTCCACTAGAAATCTTGTTAATAGTAAGTAAGGTGGGGAAAGTAGTATACCTTTTGATCAGATTATTTATCCACTAGAAATCTTGTTAATAATAGTAAGGTGGGAAAAATAATATACCTTTTGATTAAATTATTCAAAAAAGTTGTAACTGAATAAATATTTGCAAAATATTTGATTGAAAACAATTTTTTTAATATTAGTTTTAACTAAATTAATGAAAATAAAAATTTCAAGATATACCCTCCACCTCTCACTCACCTACCCATAGAAAATTGTTTTGTGCGTGTATAAAAAAAAATTATTTTTATTAATACTTTTTTATTATAAGTTTAGCAAGAACTATTAATTTTAACTTTACAGTTAAATAATTTTGTCTTAATTGAACTTAAAAGGTATAATCACTTTAGGAAAAACTGAAAAATGAGAAATTTACAAAAATTTTAAACAAACTAATACTAACCCTGTTGTAAGATCCAGTTGCACTTTTTTGACTTGGTGATAAAAGTATCTCACCACCATTAACATAATCTATGTATGATTTATTTTGTACAACTTTTGTAATTTGGTCAAAAGCTTTCACATAAATCGAAAAATCTCTGTAGGACTCAGTAAACTCATTTAAAGTGTACCTTAAAATATAGCACTTTGTAATTAGTATTATTATACTAAATAAGCAAAATAAAGATTTCTTTTATTTATCTATTTTAAGCCATCATCATTTATATATATGTATATATATAAGAATAAATAAATGTTTAGATAAGTGGTGTCATGTCATACTAAAATAGCCTGCTACAGGGGGCTTCAGAACATACATTGGCTTTCTTATAGCCACTGCTGCAAAGGAGTGCTGCTACATTGACTGAGGGTTTGGGCTGGGACTTGATCTATATACTCTATAGAAAATCTATGAATGGAGATTTAGCTTTGTTACTATCTGTTCATATATTTATTTGTATTTGTTTATATAAACATAAACAAATACAAATAAATATATGAACAGTCATGAATAAAATAACAGTTCTTCTATTGTATAGAGTAAGCATTTATTACTGATACATAAACTTAATATAGTTGAAGCACATAAATGCTTCAAATTTTTTAACCCTTGGAATTAACCGTCCTAACTTTTTTTTTTTTATTCTAACTCACTCCCAACAAGGCTGGAAGCAAGCACTATTAAGTTGGGAGTTACTAGAAAAAAAGAATAGAGTTATAGAGCAAGGAAACGGTTGACAGAAGACTTAAAGTTGAAGGTTGTATAAGTCAGGAAAACACGAAGATAGGAGAGATTTATTAAGGGTTGAAGTGCGGGGAAAAAAGCTAAATGAATAAAAGTTTTTGAAGCATGCAGGAAAAGATACAGTTAAAAGAATGAGACTTTGATGAATGATGAGTCAAGCGAGAATGAATTTTGGTTGATGGAACTAGAGATAAAAGCTCCTTTGAGCAGTGGCCATGATAGTATTTGTAGAAAAGAGAAAGAGATGCAACTTTACTACAATAGAAAACAGGCTCAAGCCTAGCAGATAGACTGGGTTCAACTATGTTTACAATGCAATTTTAGACCTTGTCTAGAACAGAAAGAGCATCATTAAAAGAACCAGCCCAAATATGACAACAATATTCCATACATAGACAAATAAGAAATTTGTAGAGGAAGAGAATGAAATTAGGAGAGAAAAAATGGCAAGCACAATAAAGAGAAGCAACCTTAGCAGATGCTAATTTAGAAATCAATTGTATATACGGTTTCCATGAAAGGTCAGTAGTAAATGATAATCCAAGAAGACGTAAAGAAAAGGACTCAGTGAGAGGGTTGCAATTCATTAATATAGGAATGTTGACAGTACTGCAATAGTTGTTTGCAGTAAGTAACTGATTTTTGTTGGAGTTAAAATTTACAAGCCACTGTGAGCCCCAAACAGTTACAGAAGTGAGATCAGATTCAAGATCAGCTGTCTGTTCTAAGCGAAGGAAAAGAGAAGATTTTTTGTCAAGACAGGAGTATAAAGTCGAGTCATCAGCAAAAAGAGCTATTTTAGATTATTGGGAAGTAAGGTTATTGGAAAGATAATTAATGTAGATAAAAAACAAAATAGAACCAAGGATAGAACATTTAGGTACCCCAGAAGTTACTGGAATTAAAGAAGAGTGTTGACCTTTGAGGATGACTTTAATAAAGTGGTTAGAAAGAAACGATTTGATAATCTCAAAAATTTTCCCAGACACACCATATGAAACAAGCTTATGGAGAAGACCAACATGCTAAACTTTGTCAAAAGACTTAAATATGTCAAGAGTATATAGTTGTGAGAAATTTGGTTATCAAAGACTTTGAGTCTTTGATAACCAAATTTCTCACAACTCACCTTGAGTTAAATAACTTTTTGTCAGATAATCAATATGGTTTTCAATCCTCTCGCTCTACTGCTGACTTGTTAACTGCTGTGACTGAAAGATTTTATTAGATGGAGGCAGAGAGGCTAGGGCTATTAATAACCTTGTTAATAACAGAAAGAAGACTGATTGGACAATAATTGGAGGAGTCAGAATGTTCACCAGAGTTTTTGAAAATTGGAACAACAGATGCCATCCAGTAGGCAGGAAAACAAGACTCAGTCAAGCACTTAATAAATAGTTTAGAGAAAATAGAAAAGAGGTCTGGAGAACAATTTTGTAAGACTGTGATAGGAATGTTGTCTGGACCACAAGCTGTAAACAAGATATGACTTGAGCAATGGAAGCTGGAGTGATTTTAATATCTAACAATGGGTGAATGAGAGATAGAATGATAAACTTTCCTTTGTTTACAATGCTGTTGAAGATTTTCCGAAAGTCTCTAGAGCCTAACTTTTTCATTTTACACTGTGTTTCATCACTTAAAGCTTATCAGAAATAAATGTTCAAATTAATAAAACTTCAATTTTTACCAAAAATTAAATTGCAGGAGGTCATAAATGTCTTAGCTGCTGTAAATTTTCACACATTTTTTTTAACACATTTTTAAATATATTAAACACCTAATATTTAATATAACTATTTCAAATGTAGTCCATACAAGAAACCTGCATATTTAAAATCAAATTTATACTTTAAATAAGAACTGGAGTTGTTTGTTATCGATACCAAACATGAAAACTTTTGTTTTCTACACCGTCTTGGAAATATCAGTTTAATATCAACCTCTGTGTGAGTAGCAATCTTTTCTTAAAAATATTTCCAAAATAGTTATTAAACAAACCTCTGTGAATTAACTAAACTTAGTAGTTTTTAAACTTGCAGCTGAATTTCTGAAAGAGCCTGAGTAACTGGTTTATATAATAGCTGAGTACTGCAAAATAATGTGGTGCTAAAATACAAGTGTATTGGAGTTTGACAAACAATATAGTTGATGTGCAATTTATCATTTACTTCCATTTACATGGAATAAAAATTCTTCCGGTTGAAAATAAATATTTTGAAATTTATCAAAAAAAATTCATTTTTGTCTCACACAGAAAGGAAATATTTGAGACAGAAGATCACCTTTTTTGGCTTAGGGGTGAATTTTTTTAATTTTGGTCTAAACACCATTTTTTTATCCCCAACCATTGTGGAGCACCTCTCATAACCTTGACCCAGCAGACTATAAAAAAAAAGACTGAAGGTTTTGCACTTTTGAATGATATAATCAGATATCACACTTTCTTCCTTGTTCATATCTTGTTGTAAATACTCTTTATGTGCTTCATTCAGTACAGCTTCATCTAGAAATTTTTCATCACCTGAATTTTTATTTGAAAGTGTGATTGTCCCTGCAGCACATAAACCACATGTTTAGCACATAACCACATATTTATCAAAATTAATTTCTCAAAAAATAACACAAAAACCACATTTTCAGCACATAAACCACATATCTATTAAAATTAATTTTCTCAAAAAATAACTAGCACTTTTGTGAATGTATACAAAAACAACTTTATATACATCAGTTTAAAAGTAACAATTTCCTACTATAAGAAAGCACTTCAAATATTATATCATAATAAAAATAAAGACAAGAAAGTATTCCGAATCATTGATGTTCAAAGAAAAAAGTTAGATTTCAAAAGTTTTTTGAAAATTAAGAAACAGCTACAGTAAAAATATGTAACTTTTTTGAATAACAAGCACAAGAGATTGAGTTAAGATTGGTGGAACAATAAATTACATAAATTAAATAAATTACAGCTTTCTTGACAAGTTGTTATTCAAAACTATAATTAAAGAAGTATGTCCAACTTTTTCTGGCCCATTTTTTTTTTTTTTCAAAACACATATTTACGCTCAAGGATGTTAGAAAACAATATAAAACTACACTTAACAACTTAAAAATAATTTTGAACTCAAAAAACATTCTCTCTCTTTCTCTTTCTATATATATATATATATATATATATATATATATATATATATATATATATATATATATATATATATATATATATATATATATATATATATATATATATACATATATATATATATATATATATATATATATACACATATATATATATATATATATATATATATATATATATATATATATATATATATATATATATATATATATATATATAAATATATATATATATATATATATATATATATATATATATATATATATATATATATATATATATATATATATATATATATATATAGAATATATATTTATATATATATATATATATATATATATAAATATATATATATACATATATATATATATATATATATATATATATATATATATATATATAATATATATATATATATATATATATATATATATATATATATAGTTATTTATATGTATATATAAATCACCAGATAACTATGACGCCAAACTGATCGGGCTTAGATTTTATGATAGATAATCCTTAAGACACTGACAATTTGTTGGTGTAAAAATCTAAACAAAATCAGCTTGATGTGGATATGGGCTGAAAGATATCAAAGTAGGACATCATCCTTTTTGATCCTAATCTAAAAAAAAGAAAAGAAAAGAAAGAGGCATCATTAAAAAAACCAGCCCAAATATCAGAACTCAGAGGTCATCAGAATCATGTAAAAAAAAAGCAACCTAAACAGATGCTGATTTTGCAATGAACTGAATATATGTGTTCAAATGATTGGTCAATAATGAAAAATGATCCAAGAAATAGTAAAATAAAAACTCAGCTTGGGGCCATTTATCAAGATAAAAATATCAACAATGTTATCATAAATATTAGCAGTAAACAACTGAGTTTTTTTGAATTAAAATTCACCAACCATTGCTAACCCAAAGATACACCGTAAGAGAAGAGTTTATAGAGCTGATAAATTTGCCAACCTGTATAAAAAGCATTTGATATGTCAAGATCAATAACCTAGGCCTTCAAACTTTTATCTAGCACATAATAAAACCACTCAGTTTTTAGAGCTAACAAATTAGAAGTTGAATTAAAGGGTTAAAATTCATTGTCCAATATTGATTGTCAGAGAAGTTGTTGGACACAAGATAAGATATAGGTTTGTTAATAAAAGACTGAACGACCTAATATTAGACTGATTGGGTAATGGATAGAGGGTTTTTAAAAATCAGAACTTTAGATAG